CCACAACTATAGTAACCCCATGGATATAATCCTATTTCTTTCCCCAGCCACGCTTATCACTACTGGAGCACACACCATCACCAAACACCACCAACATCCCCAGTCCACTCACCCCCTCATCCTCACAACTCACCAGAACAGAACGACAATTTTCAAGCAGAACTCGAAGCGGCCACCGTCTACAACAGGGAGACAAGGCCAGTGCATGCGTGCTTGGATGGGATAAAAATATTTGTCCAAAAAGAACAATACGAAAGAAAAATTTACGTAAGGTTCCCTCAACGACTGATCAAGGCTTCAATGAGAATAAGGCCAACATCAAATTCGGACGTCGAAAAATATGCCATGCTGCTTCTCCCAACTTTCAGTCTGCGTCTACGGGAGAGCAGCAACAACTGGAGGAATCCAAGGAATAGCTTGCTTGAAACAGATAACTATAATATGAATATCATAATTTGGAATTGCAGAGGAGCACAGTCAGCTGACTTCAGAAGGAACTTCCGTTCACTTCTGGATTACAATAGGCCTGCTATGGTTGTCCTACTGGAGACTCATTGCCAGACTCATCAACATATTAAGGATGATTTCAACTTTCAGGGCTCATTGAGGTGGCTGTGATAGGGCAATCTGGGGGAATAGCCCTACTGTGGCTCTCAAACATACTTAATATTGAGCCAATAGCTACTACTGCTCAGGAGGTGCACTGTCACATAAGGGTAAGTCCTTTGCCATTTACTTTTTTGTTTACAACAATATATGCTAGCACTGACCTAATAGATAGGAAAACTTTATGGGAAAATTTAATGACTGTCTATGATAATTATAAGGGGCCATGGATTATAGGAGGGGATTTTAATGATATAACACATGCATGTGATAAGTTTGGGGGGCTACCAATAAATATGTCACGTTCAAATAGATTACTTGACTGTTTTAATTACTGTCATTTGATAGACTTAGGTTATAAAGGAAGCCGTTACACTTGGACCAATGGAAGACACAACACTGCTAATATATTAGAACGTGTTGATCGCGTAGTTGCAAATTACAGCTGGATAAATAATTTTCCGGATGTACTGGTTACCCATCTTCCACGAACCCACTCTGACCATTGTCCTGTCAAAATTGACCTACAGCATAAGACTCGTGCTAGGGAAAAATTATTTAGATTTGAAACAATATGGACTTCACACCCAACTTTTCCTACTATGGTCAAGCAGGCTTGGATGGATAATGTACAATTATTACCTGTTATTAGTAAGTTCACTGAAATAGTTCAGGAATGGAATAAGTCTACATTTGGTAATTTATTTAAAAGGAAAAATAAAATATTAGCTAGACTAGGTGGTCTTCAAGCTTCCGTACATTATCCTACTAGTAGTTTTTTGCAAAAATTAGAACAAGAACTTATTCTGGAATTTAAACACATTCTAATCCTAGAGGAGGACTTTTGGAAGTTAAAATCCCGCATAAATTGGCTTAATAATGGGGATGCTAATACAAAAAATTTCCATTTATCAACTATCAATCATAGAAGACAAAATAGGATCACTAATATTCAAGATCAAGGGGGAAATTGGATCAACGATCCACATCTAATAAAAGCGCACATTACTCAATTCTACAACCAACTATTCACTACAACTACAGATACTTCAATACCTAACAACACAGTCTTTCCTCATAATGTTCTAACAAGTGAAGACAACCAGTGTTTAGTCCAGCCCTTAAAGGATGAGGAAATCATCAGTGCTATATATTCTTTCCAACCTATGAAAGCTCCCGGACCGGATGGCCTCCACCCTTTATTCTATCAAAAATATTGGAATATTATAGGTGATTCTGTAAAACAGTTCTGTCATCAAGTGTTTAGCGAATTTAGTATTGAACCCTCTATTAATACCACTCTCGTTTGTCTCATCCCTAAAAATGATAATGCCTCAATGATATCTCAATATAGACCTATTAGTCTATGTAACACTATTTACAAAGTAGTAACAAAAATACTGGTAAATAGAATAAAACCACTACTTGAGCGTTTAATTCATCCTACTCAGTCTAGCTTCATGAAAAATAAGGAGAGCGGCTAGATAATGCGTTAATTGTACAAGAAATATTACACTGCTTTCAAAAGAGGAAAGGGCATCAACTAAGTATGCTCCTAAAACTAGACCTCGAAAAGGCTTTCGACAAGTTTAGAATGGTCCTTTCATTCGTGACACTCTAGTTTCCTTAAATTTCCCTAAAGTTATCATCAAACTCATCATGTCCTGCGTTACGACTACTAGTACTTCCATTTTAATTAATGGAAGCCCATCTGAATACTTCACACCTACAAAGAGTATTAGGCGGGTGATCCTCTGTCACCCTATTTATTTATCCTTTGCCTAGAATAAGTGATCACGCGTATCAAAATACCTAATGCAGTTGATTACAGACAATGGATACCACTCACAATGTTCAAAAATGGTCCTCCCAATCTCTCACTGGTTTTTTTGCAGATGATATCATCCTCACATGCTCAAATAACAACAAATACTTGTGAGGCAATTACTAATACACTCAAGGAATTGACCACCAAATCTGGTCAGACAATAAATTTTGCCAAATCACAACTTTACTTCTCTAATAACTGTCAGAAAGATACTAGACAAGTCATAGAACAACTTTTCCAAATAAAGGAGGGAAATAATTTTGGTAAATACCTGGGTCTTTCCTATTTTTACAAAGAGACCTTGTAAAGAGACTTTTTAATTTCTACTGGACAATTTTATAAAAAAACATTAACAAGGCTGGGAAAATAGCTTTTCTTTTCAAGGGCAGGTAGAATTACTCTTATAAAATCGACTCTAAATCATCTTTCAAATCATTTAATGCAGTACATTAAAAATTCTTGTTACATAATTAAATGATCTTAAACAGATATCAACGAAATTTCCTTTGGGAACCTACTACCACAACACAAAAAAGACTTCACCTAGTCTAATGGTCACAGAGTTACAAAAACCTAACCCAACAAGGAGGCTTAGGTATCCAAAATTTAAGTATTAAAAATAATCAATGCATTGCTGGATTAGCATGGAGAATTATTCCAAAATACCCATCCTATGGTGGGCCCCAAACACTTTACATACTAACATAAGGCCCCAAAAATTTCAGTACTCTGCAAGGTTCGAACATATGGAAGCACATTACTAGAGCCTGTCCTAATTGCCAATTAGGTTAAAGTGGAAACCCTACGTCAAAAAACTACAGCTCGAGCGACTGCAGCATTGTTAAAATTTTGGACACAGACCCCTGGATCACCCATAATAAAATAGTGCGAGTTATATCCAGGGACCATTGCAAATTATGAGGGACAAAAAGTAGTCTCTAAGTTATTACACAACAATGTTTGGCATCTAGGAATTACCTTTTCAATTGCCACCTAGTTTGTCCTCTCAAATTACCAACATCTATATGCTTTCAACACCTTTAATTCCGGACCAAATTTACTGGGGCTCACTGTAAAATGGACGCGTTGTTTTTACACCACTAAATCAAATTTTTATAATGGTTTTACTTTGGGACTCCCAAACAGATATGCCTCATACACACGCCTACGGCTGGATATGAAAATTGCACATTCCACCAAAATTAAAATTTTTCTTATGGTTAGTTACTCATAATAAACTACCTACTGCTTCTTACTTGGCAAGGCTAGGAATCATTCCTTCAAATGTATGCAAGCAATGCAATAATGAAGCTAAAACAATACAACATTTACTGTTCACCTGCCCACTCACACTCCCGTTATGGAATAATCTTGGAATATCTACGACTACTTTTACTCCCTATACACAACATAATCACAACACTAGCTGGTTACATCAACTTATACACACAACTTCAACATATACTCCTTACGATGTACTAGCTACGACATTAATTCCTTTCACCTTGTGGCATATTTGGGTGGCTAGGAATAAGCGTCTTTTTGATACACAAAAATATTCCTTAAACATCTCTCATATTATAAACAATGCAACTGAATTTTACTTCTTGACAAATACAGTCAAAAATAAAAGATCACCTTCAACACCTTGTTACATAAAATGGCATCCACCTGCTCCACCTTTTATTAAATTAAATATTGATGGGTCATGTTCACCGGGGAAGGAGAAATATGACATTGGAGGTGTTTTCAGAAACAGTCAAGGACAGTGGATATTATGTTTTGCTGGGACAGCACAAGAAAGTTCACCAACTCAGAGTGAACTACTTGCTTTACACATGGGTCTCAAAATCGCTATACACCAACATCTCTCACCAATCATCATTGAGACGGATGCTCGTACAATCATAGGTATGTTCAATTCCCCAGTTATGAAGTATACTAACATTATAAACGACTGCAGGTGCTTGCTCTATCAGCTGGATAGTCCGTCCATGCACCGTGTTTACAGAGAGCAAAACTGTGTAGCGGATACATTAGCATCATATGGAGCCATGGAGCTGAAGGAACAATGCATGTTTTTTGGACAACCACCACTTTTTGTCACCACTTTTTTGGAACAGGATCAGCAAGGCACCTACCAAAGACGGCTTATTAGGGATAGTAATAGGTTGACTGAAACTTTGCTCTCTCAAACAACTAATGTGTGTAATAGTACTAGCGTGTGTAATAGTCAGTTCTTACTTAGTAATAGTTTGCACCCTACGGGTGCTACTGCTTATGTTCAGGACTCCCGTTTGGAAAAGTTTTGTAATCTGATGCCTCTGTTGCATCGGCTAACTATGTGTGTTGACCTACTTTAAATATATATTACAAGTTTATCTTTCCAACCAAAAAAAAAATAAAAATATTAGCAGTAGAATTATACATACATTCTACTTTCTACTATCTTATAAAAGGGACTTAGCACACACATGGAGGACATGTTTGCCTGGCACTTCGAGGGCAATATTGTCTTTCCATTTAACTTTCTTTTGGCTTCACTTGGATTATATCGACTCTTCTTTGGCTTCTCTCATATCACTCTTCTTGTTCTTATCCGTACCACGCAGACAGGTCTTTCAAAAACCTGGCACTGATCTAAAGGTTAATACCCGAGTTATGTGAGAAAAGCTTCACCGTCTGCAAATTTCCATTTTCACCTTCTCTCTCCTCACTTTTCCTGTTCTTATCTTTACACTTTGGTGAATTTTCACGTCCGGATCTTTGTTTTCCTGTAAGCTATCTTCTTCTCATCTTGTATTTGTTTGTTTCATCTTTTACTGCACGCTAAGATTTTGTTCTTTATGTGTTTGAGCAAATTCTTGAATGAATCAGTTGAGTGGTTGACATATTTTTAGATTATTCCGTGTGGTATTCGACTCACCTTGCCTTTTCCTCCGTTTTCCTGTTTAATTTTTTGTTTTATGATATACTGGATTTTTGCTATTAAAAATTCAATTTTATAGTCTTGGAAGTAAATTGTTTTTTCCTAGAAGAATATGGTTGAGAGGTCAACACAGAGACACATCCTATTTTAATGTTTTTTTGCCAATCTAGGAAGATACGAATTTATCGTTTGGATTGTTGTTTTCCTGTGAGCTTGCTTCTTCTTATCTTGTGTTTCTCTCTGTCATCATGGGATGCTAGTCTTTGCTACACAGGAAGTTTAATTGTCGAGTTGTGTTTGCTCTTACTGAGGAAATTCTTGAATCAGTCAAGAGATTTTACTAAACGTTTACCATTTGTCTTTCAATTTAATTTCTTGCTCCACTTGGGAGGAGAAGGGGCTGCTCCTTTTGATTTTGGGTAACCTGTGTGCGGTGACAAAACTTAACTTGGTGGGTTATAGATAGAATCTGTAATATATAGAGTGTTCCACGATATTAAAAATATAATTTATGCCTTTTTAGACATCTCATTGAAAAGTTCGGATGGAAATATTTACAGGTAAAAAGGGAAGTTGAACTTGCATAACTGATGGATTCCAAAGAACCAAACAAGTGCTCACACGCAGAACAAATGAAGGCTGCAATGCAACTCAAATGGTGTGATAGGCAAAGCCAAATATCTGCTCAGAGAAGGGAAGCGATGTTGCTATCGCGACATATAAGAAGACAAGATCCTGCAAAGCACAGCCTTCTTCAAAGTCCGATTGTTGCTGTCCCAGAGTATTGGAACAAAGCAGGATTTCTGAAACAAACTGCTCTTACCATACGAGAACCTCCTTCCCTTGCGGAAAAAGGTTATATTATTGTGCTCATATTTAGACACCATATATATTATTAATACGGCGGTGCTTATGTATTTTGCTTGGAGACTTAGTATGATATCTTATTATTCTCATGTGTGACTATAAACTAAAATACTTAAATACTGTGTGGTCTATTGCACTCTATTTTGCACCTACTAATGCCTCACCGTACGCTTTTAAAAGTCTTCGCTATTTTATTTACCAGCTGCCAGCCATCAAGTTTACGCGACTACATCGCAGGATAATTTAGAAAAAAGAAAGAGTATATTGGATCTCTCAGGTTAGATGTCTTATCTTTCGATAGTATTGGATATGATGTTTCTGGATCAACTTGAGTGCTCTGCATCCATCGTTTTTCAGTGCTTTATAGAAGTGCTTAATTCTGTTCAAGGGCAAGATAGATAAGCCACTTTACAAGTCAAACGTTGTGTCCAACATTAATGGCTAAAGATGTCTGTTATGAAATACTTGCAGTGCCATTGTTGTAGCACTTGGTTAAATCCCTTCTGAGTCTTCAGTAGCTAAAAGTGGCGCTATTTCGAAAGTTAATATCTTGGCTTAGATAGCTGCATATTTGTTGAGGCAACGGCCATCAAATTAAATGATCAGCAGTCCATGTTCTCCGAGTTTACATAACCAGATTCAAGACGATGTAAACAATATTTATCAACTACATGGTTTTATCATGAATGAAGTCTCATAAAAATTGTGCATCAACTCTATGTGCCTATGCTAGAGTCCTGATTGTTAGCCCAAACTTGATGAGGTGTTTGTCACTTGTTGGATCCAAATACGACAACAGCTGGTGAGGAAGTCCAATAGCAATTCTAAAAGTGTTACCTCAGTGATTATTTTGGATATTTCAGATTCTACTGAGTTTGAAATGACATAAATTGGAGAATCTCCCTGTTGAAGAACACAATTATTTTCCGCTTGCCTATGAATTATAGCGGTTTTCAATCCTACATTCAATAGGAAATGTTTGATATGTTTGGCTCACAAAAGGTGCATCTGAACATCCATTCAATGGCATGATACCTATCAGCAAAAGTTGATCCAATTTACTGTTATAATACAAGGATGATTATTTATTTTGCTTGGAGAAAATTAAAGTACAAAAATACTACCTGCTATTTTGCATTTCTATTTTGCATCTACTGAGGCTTCGTTGTACGCTTTTAAACGTCTTGGCTATTCTGCTTGCCAGCTGCCAGCTGCCAGCCGCCAGCCATCAAGCCTGTATGACTACACCACTTGGTAATTTGGACAAAGGAAAGGGTAAATTGGATCCCCATGTCATTCGTGAAACAGGTAAACCTACATTTAGGTTACACTCTTTTCAGAATGACATATTGTTTATACATTACTGTGAACTGTGACTATTTGTATATAAAGGTCCACATCAGGCACATCTAACCCGTGTCATATTACGTTGAATGTTGATCCAATCAAAGGTTTGCACAAATTCTGTCTTGCATTAATATCCACCATACATATGTCTTGGTGCTCCTTTTTTTCCCTAATAATACTTCTTACATATTCAGCTCATAGGCGGAGCAGAAAGGTGTGTCTAGTATTCTATAGATATGGCGCTTGCTGATAAGAGATTTTCCCGGTAAACATTCTCTTCCTTTTAACTAGTTGAATTGTGATAGTGAAAGCTCGTTCCTTTTGTGTTTTATTGCAACTTTTTTTTCCCTTTTCCTTTTGTTAGGCCGAATAATTTTGCCGTTGCTTACATTGGGTGGAAAATTGCTCTTTTGGATGAATTATTACGGGTTTTTGGGTAAAAGACCGAGAAGTAAAGTTCTAGTCTGGTCAAGACCAGGTCGATTAATCAAAAAGTATTTGGTACCTGATCACGTAGAAAAAGAGAAAGCTTTAGCTGAGATATGTGCAACATCTGTTTTTATTTTTTATTTTTGATGGTGTCTTATGAAAACAAATTGACAAAATTATAAAACAGAGTCATGGTGATCTCCAGGGGAAAAAAATCTTTGAATCTAGTTACTAATGCAGTTTTTTTTAAAAGTGAGAGGGCAGCCGGTGCACGAAGCATCCCGCGTTCACGCAGGGTACGGAGGAGGGTGTGATATAGGCAGTCTACCCTTTTGCAAGCTTCGACCTAGGAGACAACTTTAATGTTGCTCCACCGCCCCCTTTCTTTTTTAAAGTGATCAAGATAAATTGACAATGTCGGTTTTTTTTTTTTTTTTTTTTGGAGTACTGAATTAGATTATCCTCTTCATGTTTGAAGCTAATTCAGAAAACAAAAACAAAGATTAAACCCAAACTTGGCAAAAAATTAAAGAGTAGAGGTTCTAATTGAGGAGCCAAAAGCATGTTATTTATGCACGAGTCCACATTTTGCTACATAACATGGGTCCAATAATCAAATATACTAGTAGTAATTTTTATCCTCATAAGCGTGGGAAGGGCATTTTTTTTGTAGTTTTTTTTTTTGTTGGGATAACGTAACTTTTTATAAATTCTCTCTTTAAAAATCCGTGTCTCCACTTGTAATGCAATTAGGTTCATGATGCAAAGGAGGATCAATTCAGCCAGCTACCAGATGATGTTTTGTCTTCCATTCTTGCACATTTGACAGTAATAGATGCTCCTAGGACGAGCATTTTATCTAGAAGGTGGAAATATCTCTTTGCCTCTATGCCTACATTACAATTCAGATGCCTTGACATGTTTGGGATTAACCCTCACAACCATACATGTTGCCCTTACTATCAGCGTACAATACTACAGGGTGCAACATCATCGTAATTTAATACTGCGAAGCGTAACATCATCATAATGTAATACTGCAAGGTGTAACATCAACGTAATAAATTGCGAGGCTTAATATCGACGTAATATTGCGGGGCGTAACATCATTCCCCCCTTTGGAACATTCGTCCTCGAATGTTGACTGATGCTCTTATCATTTTCATAACTTATAGCTCTTGTGAATACCTCAATACTCTCCTTGCCATTTACGCAGTTATTTTGTGAATAAATCTAAAGGCCAAGGCATTCCCCCTTTAGGCCTCTTTCCCACGCCATGACTTGTGATCGAATTCCTTTCAATCTCGTAATTGTTGCAACCTTCTATCATGCAGTCTGTACGACTTTTTCCCTGTAAGTGCGCCTATGCGACTCTTCTGTCCTTTTTTCCTTCTGCTTTTAGCCAATCTCTAGTCCTCACTTTTTAAACATATATAGAGCTTAATAAGATGTCCTTCTGGGCATCTATAGGTATACTGAAGTTCTTCGCTCGATACTTTGTCGAACTTACGAATATTGTTATATCTTATTTCATAGACCTAGTTATCCATCCGTATGACTTTACTGCATCAAGGTAGGTCATATTATACTATAACTCTTACTTTGTTTTATCGTTACTGAGGTCTGCTACCAATTCCCGGTTACTTTCGTTGCTTATCCCATATGTATGAATCCAAGTCCTTTAATGCTTCCTTATTATCCTTCACCTAAAGGATGACGGCCTAATCTCATCTCATACTTTGTGACTTTTGTCCATCCGTTGTTGATTCACCTCAACATTGATCTACAATTTACCATGATAACTTGAAACTTCTTACGTAATCACTAGGGCTCACGTGGCATTGAGGAACATTTGAAGTGATTTTCTTGACCCACCTGGGGACAATATATACTATACTTCCATAACCGTATTTCCTAGCATTCCAATGTGATTCACCTTACGTGAGTAAATTAATCCCGTACAATCCATGAATCCCTTTCTTCAAATCATTGTGGGTACATGTTTTCCGTACGTGACTATATATGTACCTACAATTCACCTTACGTGAGTAAATTTTTCTAGTGAATTTGACCAATGGATGCATTCTATTTCAAAATTAGGTGTTGAAAGACTATATCTTTCTTTTGATTGTGGCATTATTCCTATTCTCTATGTTCACATAAACTGGAGTCGCCAATAAGGGAGAGGTAGATGCCTAGCACGCTATATTGACTATTCTATGAAGTGACCAGATATTTCTGAATTCTGCTTCTTGTGAAGATCTTAGTCTAAGCTTCCCTGATGCAGTTGGAAGACTGTAAAAGGCAACAGGCGCAGCTAATTGATTGTAATATCATGTCTTATTAATATTTCTAGTTTTATGGCCACATTAACTCCAATCTTTTTCCTCTGCCGCATTTACTAAAATGACCATTGATTTCTCTTATTTCTCATTAAATTCCAACAGATAGATGATGGAATTTTACTTTGGTTTTAGATCAATTAAATTAACCAGTACGCTGGTACGTACTTGTACAGTTTTCTTCAGCAACGCCTGCTCTTGTTTTCTTTCTTATAAGTGGCAGAGGTAAGTTCTGCTTAGCAAGAAGAGACTTTTGTTGGTTCACATTTTTATATAATATCCCTTATCCACAGAAAAGAAGCACTAATCCACGAGGGTTAGATTCGAATCAACAGTCTCCTTATGTAATACTAGTACATATATAGTCGTGCAGAAAGCAAAAGGGAGAAAAGCAAAAGCAAAGAAGGATGCAGGGGGTGGAGCATAAGAAAAGCAAAAAAGACGTCTTTCTCAACACAGATCCCAACGGAATGCAGGAAGGATGCACGACATTACTTGCTGGATCCTATTCTTTTCGTTTTTTAGTTTAAAGGGACTCCCTTAGTTCTCCTTGGTAATCTTTTCAGTGTGATACACACACACACACAGAGCCCATTCAGTTGTTTTTGACTTTATTTTTAGATTTATGGCTAGAAAACAAAAATAGAAAAAAGTTTCAAATGGAGGGAACAAAAGAAAGGGTGGAGTATGATTAGCTTATTTGTCTCCCAATGATTGACTTGCCGCCTTGCTCCAAGAGAAACTTGCTCTGAATCTCTTAATAAGTGTCAGGATTTTTTCAATCCCATAGCAACGAAAATGAAGTCTTCTGAGTAATGATGACAATAGCGGCAACACTAACAGCAACAGCTACTGGCTTGGTTATTCATTCTCCCCTCACATAAACAGCTTAGAGGGTCCTCCTCCTCATCACCATCACAATCAACCTGGCTCAAGCAATGTTCCAAGTTCAGTCCGCATTAGATTTTGTCCAACTCATCTAAACTATCCAGGCATGTACTATAATATTGAAGGTGACGATGCAGCCTTTTTCTCTTCATTTTCTGCGATGCCTCTCAAGTCTGATGGTTCATTATGCATTATGAAAGCATTCAACAGGTCAGAACAACCAAAAGGTTATTTTCAGCTCAAAACTTGTCCTGTCTTTAAATGGGGTCTTTTTTCTGTTTTATGCTTTGGGATTCTTGCTTATTTTATGAATATCCTTGTGACTTTAGTTTGAAGGTATGGTAAGTTTCAACACCTAAACTGGAGGACTTCTTTGGTGATGCAGCAATGGGAACCCATCACCATGAAGGTTGTAACGGATGAGGGTTCACACCTTAGACAGCAAGATTTACTATAATCAACACCAAGAAAGGGTTTGGAGGTTTAATGATGGCAGCAACGGACTATGGAAGCAGCTTGTAGAAGTCAAATATGGAAGGAAGGATTATTGGGCTCCTTGTGCAATTCAGTCTTCTTCTAAAGGAGGAGTTTGGAGTACCATTAGCAATCTAAAGGGTGAATACAGTCAGCTTGTTAAGCTGAAATTGGGGAATGGCAATAATATTTTATTCTGGTATGATGTACGGATGGGAAATTAGAGCTTCAGATCAAGATTTCCCGTTTTATATAGTTTCTCCACAAACAAAAAAGGAAATATAGCAGATCTGTACTCAAATAATGGCTGGCAACTGATGTTTAGGAGAGGCCTCAAATGACTTGGAAATAGATGAATATGCTCAATTGCTGCAGTTGCTGGACAGTGTTAGTTTGTAGGATAATAAGAGATCCATTTATCTGGGCAGCAAGTGGTGATGGAAAATTCACTGTCAACAAATGCTACACTGTATTGGAAAAGCAACAGAGGATGCATGATTCAGATTGGCCATGGAAAGCAATTTGGAAATCTAAAGCACCTGTAAAGTAGCTTGTTTTGGGTGGGTGGCGGCAAAGAAAGCTTGTAACTCAGGAAAATCTGCAAAGAAGAGGTACTACTCTGATTAAAAGATGCTATATGTGTGAAGAAGATTTAGAAACTGTTAATCATCTCTTTATTCATTGCAAAGTGGCAAAACAATAATGGGAGCTCTTTCTAAATATGTATGGAGTCAGATGGGCAATGCCCTCAAATGTGAAAAGCTTACTGGAAACTTGGCAACTTCAAAAGATGGCAAGGAGTCAATTGGCTGTGTGGAGAAGAACTCCTCTATGTGTTTTATGGACAACATGGTTGGAGAGACATAGGGTCTGCTTTGAAGGAAGAAGACAACATGTTTCCAGGATTAAACATGATATGTTTGATAAATCTGTATTACTGTTGCAAAAGAAGTGTTGTGGAAATTTGGAACAGTAAATGAATCTTTTAGTGGAGTTAAGTGATATGTAGGAGATCAGTTTTGTGTTAGTTGCTGGCCTATTATATTTGTACCATTTTGGTACCTTTTTTATTTAATAAAATTTTTCCTTACCAAAAAAAAAAAATATTAACCAACACCAAGAAAATGAGACCACCAGCAGCCAAGATTTCTCGAACTTGTTCAAGAAACCTCTAGGCAGCAACAACAAAAACAACACTACCCAGATTTCTCAGCATATCACTCTACTGATCAGGGGAAAACAGAGTGCAATCCTCAGGTCCCAACAATGCCAGTTGATGAAATGTCTGGCATTAATAACTGGCTGTCAAGAAACTATCGAAATCTAAAAGGGCATGTATTAGAGCAGAATATGGTAGGCTGCATGGCTGATAATAGTGGAGAATCTGGGTCTAGTGGTGCAATAACATACGGAGATTTTATGTCATTTAGCTTATCAATGAGCCCTGGCTCTCAATCAAGTTGTGTCAGTGGAACGCAGCAAATCTCTCCAACCGTTGCGGATAATATTGCCATGGAAACAAAGAAAACAGGGCTTAAGAAGGTGGATCATCAAAAGCAAATTGTTCATAGGAAATCCATTGATACTTTTGGCCAAAGAACCTCATAGTATCGAGGCGTCACTAGGTTAGATCTTCCCCTTTATCCTATTTTGTTTTCTTTAATTTCGATGACCTTTATTCTGTAATATTTAAGTGGTTATATGTTTTTTCATAATAAAAGGTAGACACCATGATCTTGTTAGTTATATTTCTTTTGAATTAGGCATAGATGGACTGGGAGATACGAAGCTCATCTATGGGACAAGAGTTGTAAGAAAGAAGGGCAGAGCAGGAAAGGAAGGCAATGTTAGTTTCAAACTTTTCTTTAATGGATTTGCTTTTTATAGCTTCTGGTGAGTTGTTTCTCTGGACTGGTACAAACTTGCTTCTTTTTTCTCCTTCATGATTATTGTTAGGGATGCATGTCGATTTTTTCAGTCTATCTAGGTAAATCTTGATTTAAATTTCTGTATACGTTGTATATTCTGTGAAATGATTGAGCCATGACCGTATATATCTATCTTGTTGTTAACGAGATGATCATAAATATCATAAATCTAGGTGGGTATGACGTGGAAGAAAAAGCTGCAAGATCATATGACTTGGTAGCACTGAAGTACTAGGGACTCTCAACATATAAATTTCACGGTATGCAGTAGTATATAAAGATTATTTATCAACTGTATTTTATTTGTTTATGTTGTCATATAATTTTTTAAAACCTCTAACGCAGTAGGAAAATAAAAAACATGACACAACAAGAATACATAGCTCAATTAAGAAGGTAGGCTTGTTCCTGCTTCTATTCCTGTATTTAATTAGCACTCGTATTCATTTGATTTGTCCAAATTTTTGCAGGAAGAGTTGTAATTTTTCAAGAGGAGCTTCAATGTATCGAGGATCTGTCTTCCTTGGAAGGACATAAAGGTTGTCATGTTGTAGCGCAAAGATATTCAATTGGAGCAGTAGCTCATCGTCTACAGTCACATCCAGTTGGATAAAGACTGCACCTGAGGCCTCATCTTGTTCGTGCACCATATTGTAGAAATCCTTCCTGCTCTTGACAACTAGAACTGGAAATAACTTCGGGATGGACTTCGCAGCTTCTTTCAGCGTCTTTGAGGATGCCGGACAGACGCTACTGCTGCCAATCTCATGTGTGCTTGATGGTGTCTCTTGTATAGCATGTGTGAGACTGGATCCACTCAAAGGGAGAGCACTAGATGAACTGGTTGTCCGCACATTTTGGTTATCAGCATCCTTTGGCTAATGTGTTATTTCGCACACCCAAGACAAACGTCTTTTAAAATATTTCTGCAATGCATCGAACACACCTACAAATGAAAAGGACTGTTAGAGCAGAGAATTAACGCAGAGAATTGAAAGGGGGCTGGTACCATAACAGGTTTAGCAGAAAAAAGTTACCTCGAGCTGGAACAGATTTATATTTCTTCGAACAAAGACTCTAACATTAGCAAATTTGTATGAAGTAGATGGCAGTAAGTTACCAAAGGCTCTCAATAAAACTCATGGCCTACGCCAAAATTTAACAAGGGGCCTCAATTTTTCTTTTCTTTTTTGTCTATAGTGTAGTTATCTTATAAAATATAGTATTAATATTATATTTTTTAATTGATGCATCACAAGCATTCATTGGTACAAATATCGAATGCAGATACAAGTTCAAGAGTTTTGGTGTATATAATAAAGTGAAATTGAGTGACGATCCATAAAATTAACACTTAATGGGCCACCTAAAGGTGCAAGAATTTGAATTTAAAACTTCAATCTTTGTGAATTTCTACTTTTCAATCTCCGTTTAGACGATGGTAATGAATCTTTCCCAACTATATATAATTACGGCTAACATCTCAATAATGCCACACTAAATCATGGACGACTTGTTGCTAGGTATAGTTCTAAAATATTTTTATTGTTAAAAAATAGACAGTCTTTCTTCCCATTTTTGTAAGGATTTTGTATTCTTTTTCTTTAAACTTCAATATTGTCTAGACGAAAATAAGATAGTAAATCCACAATTAAAAATATTTATGGGGCCCCAAAATTTAGGGTGCCTAAAGCAAAGGCTTTACTTGCCTCCCCTTGAGCCGCCCTGCAAGTTCCCCATCTGTTTTTCAGAACCAAGGAGGAACTATGTAAATGACACATGACATAACTTGCTAACTTAGAAATTACAGCCTAAACCTCTCTATGAATTTATCAAAGCTAGTTTTACAGAAACAGTAAGACATTGTTCTTGTGTTGTAACAGGATCCTGTTAGGTGTTAGCTATAATAACAAGTGATTTCAGAGTAGAGAAGTTAGCAACCAACAATGTGTAAATTCAGAAAATGGTGAACGTACCATAAATAACAGATTAGGATATATCATTGAAAAATAATGCGAAGCTATGATACTAAATAAAGTACAGATATATGTACTACCAATCAATATCAGAGTGACTGAACTGAAATCATCACCATTACGCAGATTTTAGTCCAACCAAAGAAATTTATGAAGTACCAAAGCAAGGAGAAAAATGTTATACCTCACAGTCATCTCCCAGGAAGGAATCAGCTCCCAAGCTCACAATACTGTCTTGATTATTGTCATTCTCATCCTCACAGGGATCAAGCATGCTCTCAAGCTAAGAAGAAATCACAGAATGTGAATTGGTTGAACATTTAACCGAAAACTACTGTATCCTTCCTGCAATAACTGCCCCATACCTTGAGAGCTAATACAAAATGCTTGCTGTTTAACATTGCCGACGTCCATTTTTAAAGGACTTTTGGTCCATGGATTGAAAGCTTCCTCTTCACTGCAGCTTCTAAAGAAAGGAGGCTCATAATCACCAGGCTGCACAGCCAAAAGATTCTGGTAAATCTTGTTAAAATCATACATGTAACGGAAGAGAGGAAAGGCTACAAAAGTTGAGTGAAGGGCATATCAGTATTGTTTGGTGAGAAAATAATGAAGGAGGAAAAGAATTTGATATTGTAAACAAAATTAATTTACAAAAAAATGAGACACGAACTGTTAATGAATAATAAAGCCTGTATTTAAAAAGTACCATAAAACTTTACCTCCTCTGGCATCTTATCCAAAGTTCTCATCAACTGAATCAATGTATGGACCATCTTACAAGCAGAACTCCGGAGATAGTGGTATTTCTTATCTAAATGGTTCTAGCTATCCAAAATCAACAGCATGAGACGAAAATCAAGGTAACAATTTCATGATATCAATATGACTACCTCGTCTGATCGGGTGTTATTTCATTGGTTTAGATAAACTTTGCATGGTGTCACGACCCAAAATCCAAAAAGGGTTGTGATGGCGCTGGACACCACTGTCAGGCAAGCCAACCAAAATACATAATTAAATTCTCGTTTTAATACTCTTGGAATCTATGATTTTCCTTCAAATTTACCAATTAAAAAGATAATCGTCTCAAATCAAATTAAATGATAAGCAATTGATACAAAATACTTTATAACCATCCCAGAACCCGGCGTCACAAGTGCATGAGCAATTTCTAAGAAATCGAATAAAGTACAATAGCTGTCCGGAATACAAATTGGACAGAAAGTAAATAAAATTCTGAGAGAGACTATACTAGCTGCGGGTCGCCTCGAGGAAATACAGCTCACCTAGTCTCCGTGTCGCCCATACTGCAACGCCCAGTGGGCCACTAGAAGTACCTGCACCTGTGCAACCAAATACACAACAGGTGTAGCATGAGTACGAAAATAACGTGTACTCAGTAAGTATCCCGCCTAATCTCGAAGAAGTAGAGACGAGATGGAAACTTCGACACTTACTAATGGTCCAATAATAATATTATTAATGCGATAAATCACGGATTTATTAAGAACGACAGTAAATTCGATTGAGTCACGAACAGGTAAAGGTTCCTTTTTATTGAAAGTCTCCGGATTCATAATCCACTAATTAACCATTTTCTCAAGTCGGGGAGAGCAGATATCAGTATCAATAAATATCAAGGCAAGCAATACAAGCATGCGCAATTCATGCCGAGGTCGTACGGCCCGATCCAACATAAATGTAAAATATGCACTGCCAATGGTCGAACGACGCTAACCATAGATGCATCTATTACCCTGCTCGCGAATCATACATGCGACGCGGTCAAATTTAGGTAAACAAGCACTCTGCTCGCGAATCACACATGCGACGCAAGTACGCATAGAAATACACGCTCAAACAGCAAATTAAGAATTTATCGGGGAATATTTTATCCAAATAAAAGTCAATTCTCTTTCAACGATTTAAGAAAAATGAAGTTTAATTCTCTTAGAAATTCATTTACCAATTCGATAGGATTTAAGAAATTTAACTGTCAATAAGATTTCAGATATTCCAAGTATAGCATGCTTCTGGGTCTTAGACTACCCGGACTTACACATATTAGTAGCTACGCACGGACTCTCGTCACCTCGTGCGTACGTAGCCCCCACAAATAGGAGCACATAATCAATTATTTTACCTATGGGGACAATCTCCTCTTACAAGGTTAGAAAGGAGACTCACCTCGCTCCAAAGCGTACTTCCAATACCAAGAACGAGCTCAAACTCTCAATTTGGAGCCGAACGATCCAAAACTAGATAAACGAGGTAAGAACTAGTCGATACAAGCTCGCAAGATCGCATTCTAACTATTTAAGCAATTTTCCAACCTTAAACACAAGTTTCCTAAAATCCGACCCTGGGCCCACGTGCCCGGATTACAAAATTTTTTGAAGAAAGTTGTTCTTTATAACCTAAGGATCAAGAATATATGATTTCTACTTCATTCTACAACAAATTTCGTGGTTGCTTGTTGTTTTTAACAAAACCCTAGGTTTTACTCTATTCCCATGATTTTCACTAATTTTTATGTGTTAATCTACCCAAAACTCAAGTATTAAACTCACATTAATTAGAAATAACGTACCTCACAATGCTAGGCGGAATCACCCCTCCAAGAGCTCCCAAAATCGCCCAAGAAATGAGTGAAAATGAACAAAAATGGCCTAGAGCCCGAATAAATGAAGGCCACTGCCTTCTGCGATTTCCACATGTGTGGTCCTGGGCCGCACCTGCGACCACCGCTTCTGCAGAAAGAAGACCGCTTCTGCGGACAAGCCCACTGCTTTTGCGATTCCGCTTCTGCGGATTTAGGGCCGTATCTGCGGTCTTGGGCTGCCTGGCCTTGGGCCACTTCTGCGATAGATGGACCGCTTCTGCGGTCTCGCACCTGCGGTTTAGCAACCGCATGTGCGGTTATGACAGTAACCAGCAGCTTCAGCCTTCCCAAAAATTCCATTTCGATCCGATAGCCACCCGAAATCCATCCGAGGCCCTGGAACCCCAACCAATCATGTCAACCAGTCCCAAAACACATTACGAACTTGCTCGAGGTCTCAAATCATATCAAACAACGCTAAAATCATGAATCGACCTCCAATCTAAGCTTAATGAACTTTAGAATCTCAAACTTCTACATTCGATGCCGAAACCCGTCAAATCACGTCCGATTGACCTCAAATTTTGCACACAAGTCATATTCGACATTACGGACCTACTCCAACTTTTGAAATCGGATTCCGACCCCGATATCAAAAAGTCCACTTCCGGTCAAACTTCTCAAAACATTCAAATTTCTATCTTTAGCCAAATGACTCCAAAATGACCCACGGACCTCCGAATTCATTTCCGATCGCGCTCCCAATACCAGAATCACCATACGGAGCTACTTCCAGACTCAGAATCCCAAGCGGACATCGATAACACTAAAATGCACTTCAACCCAAACTTATGAAATTCCCCCCAAAATGCTAACTTCCACAATAGGCGCCAAAACGCTCCCGGGTCATCCAAAACCCGATTCGGGCATACGCTCAAGTCTGAAATCATCATACGAATTTACATTTGGTTTCCTTGCCCGAATTAACATTCGGCCTCCTCGCCCGAATTTACATTCGGTATCCACGCCCGAATTAACATTCAACCTCCCCATCCGAATTTGTCAAAACTACAATTAATGAAGTCCGCACAATGAGCTCGACCAAAAGATGACCTCGATAAGCGGAGAGACTAACTGTATGGGTCAAAATCAAATCAGAGAAATTCGGCATGCGGAGACACTTGTCATGAGTAACCTGCAAATCGAAGTGATCAATAAGGCCGAGGTCGAGAAGTGATCTATTAGGCCGAGGCCGAGCAGTGATCTATAAGGCCGAGGCCGAGAAACGATCTATAAGGCCGAAGTCGAGCAGTGGTCAATAAGGCCGAGGCCGAGCAGTGCAGATAGATGTAACAACTAGTTTTGCTTTGGAATCTTCAAAGGGAATATTCTACCAGATATTCCCTCTAACTGTACTTTTTTAGGATTTGCTAGGGATATCCCTTATAAATAGGAAGAGAACACTTCTCAAAGCGGGAGACTCTCTCTCTAAAAAATATACAAACACACCTCTCTAAAGAGATTAGATTATCTATGATCCGATACCCTCCATCAGATCCAAAATGGGTCCTAAAATTCTTGTATTTGTCTATCATTCATCTTTATCAAATGAAAGAGGATCCGCCTCACTCAAGATTGGATGAATCTTTTCCT